ACTGTTCATTCCTCTCAACCAAAAGACAAAGGAGGAGGTCCACTACTGGCTGGAGTGATGGAAACTGACAATCAAAGGGAGATGGGGTTCCTAATATACTAGGGGCTAAGAAAGAGCATGTCTTATATGTCTAGACAGCTTCTTAATTCTCCTGTGTTTTGTGATTAGAGTTAATGGAAAATTACAGCAACCCCATCCAGGCAGGACATCTAATGGTTCAGACTCTTCATAATGAAGGTTTGAGTCACCCTGCCAGGCCAGGCACCATGACCAGCTGACATGCTATCTCAAGGCAAAGGAAATGAAAAATGGGGAGTGAAAGAAGGCAGTTATAAATACCAGCTACCACAATGTGGGCTGCTACAGAAACCACGACTGTAATAGTATTTACTTAATGGGTTAATAATATCTGCCAGCACAGGTGGGAAAATCAACCAACGAACAAACAAGTTATCCTTTCAAATGAAATGCTTAGGGAAAAAGACCAACTTTTACTGACAGAAATTTCTTAGCCTCTGGGAGGCCATTTTATTCACTAACACATGCTAGGAGGCCTCAGCCATATCCTGCTCGATTGTAGAAAACAGCAATTTGATCCTCTTTCCTCCTCAATCATTAAAGAGATTATGCATTTAGGGTCTGATGTTCCTTCTTGGACAAGTAGCCACATGTCATTTCTTCCAGTTTCTTCTCAAGGTGCGGAATTAAGTGTCCGCTCATATACCTGAAAAGAAAGAGACGTGTCATTAACCAAAAGAGAGCCAAAGAACCTATGCTGTAGGAAGCACTGTGGGAGATAGAAGGATGAAGTAACAGTCAGCATGGAGACAGAAATGCACCTGCATGGTAAGGGGTAGTCTAGCCAGGCAATAACAAATGCTGGCGAGGGTGTGAAGAAAAGGGAAGCTTCATACACTCTTGTTGAGAATATAATTTACTATGACAACTATGAAGAACAGTTTGGAGGTTCCTCGAAAACCTGAACATGGAGCAATCATATGATCCAGTAATCCCACTGCTGGGTATACTCCCAGGAGAAAGGAAGTCAGTACACCGCAGAGATATCTGCACTCCCGTGTTGGTTGCAGCCCCGTCCACAGTAGCCAAGCTTTGGAAGCAACCTATGTGTCCACCAACAGATGAATGGGTAAGGAAAACGCGGTACATATACACAAAGGAGTGCTGTTCGGCCATAAAAAAGAATGAGATTCAGTCATTTGCAACAACATGGATGGAACTGAAGGTCATTACGTTAAGTGGAATAAGCCAGGCACAAAAAGACAAACTTCGCATGTTCTCACTTATTGGTGGGAGCAAAAATTTTAAACAACTGAACTAACGGAGATAGAGAGTAGAATGACGGTTACCAGAGGCTGGGAAGGTTAGTGGGGTGGGGGGAAGTGCAGATGATTAATACGTACAAAAATGGCATGAGTAAGATGTAGTACTTGAAAGCATGACGGGGTAAATATAGTCAGTAATAATTCAATTGTACATTAGAAATAACAAGAGTATAATTGGATTATCTGTAACACAAAAGATAAATGCTTGAGGTGATAGATGCCCCATTTACCTTGCTGTGTTTATTACACGTTGTTGTCTGTATCACACTATGTCATATACCCCAGAAATATATGCATCTGCGATGTACCTACACACATTTTTTTTAAAAAAGAGGTAATCTAGCAAATACAAGGAGTGTCAATTGAGGGACAATGTCTACCTCAGACTATGGTGAGAAGGGAAGTCTCCATAGGCTTTGGAGAAGGAGTTAGATTCAGAAAACATTAACCTATGTAACTGTGGAGATAGCCGTAACTATAAGTGAAGGCCAGGGTTTGCGAAATTTGAGGCACGGGCTGTTCCCCCACGCTCATGCCCAGTACTGTGTTGAGCCCAAGTACTTAAAGAAATTGAGCAGTTCCTAGTTCTGCCCACCTGACTGCTTCCTTGATGATGGATTCAAAATAGCATCCCTTGACTTCTACAGGTGTTTGCAGTCCTTCAGGCAATTTGACTTTTTTTTTCACGTTCTGAAGATGTTAAAAAAATAAACTTCAGTATTATAAAGAAGAATAAAAGTGAATCTTGGTTAAACTATACCTCAGCAATCATGCTTCATAGGCTAAATGTTTTAAATGCTTAAATAAAGATGCCAGCTCATACAAAAACTAAATAAATAAACAAACACCTGCATGTACATAGGAATGAAACTCTTGTAAACAATAACCAAGAAAGAAAAGAAAAAGAGAAGTTGTACTATATTTTAGTCAAAGAACAGAAAAACCACTGTAAATTATATGCAATCTCAACTCTGGCAAAGAATGAGCCTCAGCAGATAACATGCACATCTTCTAAATTATAAAAAGAGAGACTTCGTGGAGTTTTTTTTTTTTGAAACAGACATTCTTATATTACTTACTTCTCCAAAGTAATGTAGAATTTCCTTCATTAATTTGCCTTCTGTTTCAGCATTAATATCTTTTTGGATTCTTGAAAAAGGGAGTATTTCTGTGACTTTTAGGTCATCTGCAGAGAAAGTGCTGGTAATGATGACTCCTACAAGTGCATTTCTACCAGGTTTCTGCATCAGCCCACCTTTGCTGAAGCCAGTGAAGTCATCAATCCGAGAATCCAGTTGGCTGGCTGGAATACCAACTCCTACCTTAAGCTCTGGCGGAACAAATTTTGACAAAAAGCCATCAGTTGGAGTTTCACCATGTTCTTTCCCCTCCACATAGACATCACGAACGACAGATCTGGAAACCAAACTGAGAAGTTGAGCTGTGGGATATGTGTGTTTCATCAGCCCTCTGGGTCCATCTATGTGTTCCTCAGTTTCTGGGTAATTATTTATTTCATAATTGGGAGGATGTACCGGGGGAAACCCCAGGCCTGACGAACTGAGGCCAGGACACATAATACAGTAAAACCACCACTTATTTTCTGGCCCTATGAATGCATATGGAAACCAAGTAAGACAGTACAACTCTAACAAACATTCACAGGTCCCTGGCACTCATGGGTTAGTGTCAGCTTGTTATGCTTTACTAGGTGAAAGCAGCACGTCTCATTTGACATCATGACTTCTCAAATTGACATACAACCCACCGTGCTTTACTGAGCTGGAAGCCAGACAACTTGGATACACCTCAACCTGCCTCCTCTCTACATCAAATATGTTCTGAGAAAATAGAGGCAGCCATTAGTGCTGAAAGTTCTATATGCACTCCAACACCAAAAATCCATTTTAGTGTATGATCTTCCTCATCCTTCTTTCTTTGTCTCAAAAACGTTACGTTCTTTTCACTCCAGATCTGTCACCTCTTTCATTTATTCATCGTCTGTGGTAGGCAGCATGCCAGAAGCTGGGGATCAGCAGTAAACTACCAGAGAGCAACATTTCCTGCTCTTGTGGAGCTCACATCCTCATGTGGCAGTCAGACAGTACGTGCCCAATGAGCGAAGGAAATTAACAGCATTGGGCTGATGGTGGGGAGGCCGTCCACAGGCTTGTGGGAGACAGCGGCAGAGGGAGCCACAGGGGCTATTACTGGTTGGGCAGGGCCTTCTGAGGAGGTGGCCTTGGGCAGCGATTGGAGGAAGAAGTGGGGCAGCCTGTGCAGAGGCAGAAGGGGATTTCCAGGCTGCAGTGAGGCCAAGGGTAGGGGCTGGAGTGGGGATAGACTGGGCACTATGGGGTGAAGGACAGAAACAGAGAGAGCCAGGGGATGGATGGGACCCATGTTAGCAGAGGGTGACGGAGGTCAGGCCACCTAGAGCCTCGTAGACCAAAGCTGGTTTACAGTCTGTTCTGAGTGCTTAGGGGAGTTGAGGATAGGTTTTCAGGAGCGACACGACATGATGTCATTAACATGCCAACACGATGACCTGGCTGCAGGGTTGGAGGGTGTGTGTTAGATGGGGGCAATAATGGGAAACATGGAGATGTCACTGTAGCTCAGTGACTGACCATGGCACAGTGGATAAAAAGGAGAGAGAGAAATTCTGGGATTCAGAAATTTTTACAGGATTTACAGAAGAGAAGAAAAATAAAGGTAGAAAAACAGAGTGATGGGGTGCAGTAGCTCATGCCTGTAATCCCAGCACTTTGGGAGGTCGAGGTGGGTAGATCACCTGAGGTGAGGAATCTGAGATCAGTCTGGCTGCCATGGCGAAACCCCATTTTACTAAAAATATAAGAATTGGCTGGGCATGGTGGCTGGTGCCTATAACCCCAGCTACCCGAGAGGCTCAGACTGGTGAATAGTTGAACCCCAGAGACGGAGGTTGCAGTGACCCAGGATGGTGCCACTGCACTCCAGCCTGGCCTACAAGAAAGAAACTCCATCTGAAAACAAAAAAGGTCGGGATTCACCAATAAGGACAATACATTTTAAAAGAAGATTGTGGAAAACGGAAATCCTAGAAGCTTTCCATGAAGAAGCAGTGAACAACTCTCAAACGCTGCTGAGAAATTAATGGCAACGTCGGCCAAGACTGTTGATCTTGACAAGCACAGTTTCAGTGGAGGGGAAGAGGCAGGAGACTGACTGCACTGGATACAGCATGAAGAGGAGGTGAGGACAGGCTTATTTACTCTTTTCTTTAGACGTGGCAGAGCCTCCAATAAGGCCATCTCCTATTCCTCGTTTCCTTACCAACAGGGCCATCTTCTGCCTTTTCTGGGATGAAGAACTCTCACATTCCCTGGGATGTTTAAATGCATTTTGAGGTTTTGCAGCAACCTTCTCTTCTTTAATCCGTGATTGTGTCCTGAAAAACATCAATGAACATTTTCCATTCATGACAAATATCTAACAATCAGAAAATGACAAACAGTCTGCATATATCAATACAATCAAGAACTTCAATCATTAGTTTGACTTTTAATAATGAGCCAAGATTTACCGAGTCTCAACAAACACTCTGTTTTCAGGAAAGGAAACCTAATTTTGATGCGTGCTAAGAAGAAAGAAAGAAAGAAAGAAAGAAAGAAAGAAAGAAAGAAAGAAAGAAAGAAAGAAAGAAAGAAAGAAAGAAAGAAAGAAAGAAGGAGAAAGAAAGAAGGAAGGAAGGAAGGAAGGAAGGAAGGAAAGAAAGAAAGAAAGAAAGAAAGAAAGAAAGAAGAAAGAGAAAGAAAGAAAACTACAGACCAATATCCATGATGAACATTGATGCAAAAATGTTCAATAAAATACTGGCAAACCGAATCCAAAAGCACATCTAAAAGCTTATCCGCTATCATCAAGTAAACTTCATCTCAGGATGCAAGGCTGGTTCAACATAGGCAAATTTATACATGTAATTCACCACATAAACAGAACCAAAAATAAAAACCACATGATTATCTCAATAGATGCAGAGAAGGGCTTTGACAAAATTCAACAGCCCTTTATGCTAAAGACTCTCAATAAACTAGGTATCGAAGGAACACACCTCAAAAGCCATATAGGAGAAACCCACAGCCAATATCATACTGAATGAGCAAAAACTAGAAGCATTCACTTTAAAAACTGGCACTAGACAAGGATGCCTTCTCTCACCACTCCTATTCAATATAGTATTGGAAGTTCTAGCCAGAGAAATTAGGCAAGAAAAAGAAATAAAGGGCATTCAATTAAGAAAAGAAGAAGTCAAATTGTCCCACTTGCAGACAACATGATCGTATATTTAGAAGAACTCATCATCTCAGCCCAAAACCTCCTTAGGCTGATAAGCAACTTCGGCAAAGTCTCAGGATACGAAATCAATGTGCAGAAATCACAAGCATTCCTATACACCAATAACAGACAAATAGAGAGCCAAATCATGAGTGAACTCCCATTTACAGTTGCTACATAGAGAATAAAATACCTAGGAATACAACTAACAAAGTATGTAAAAGATCTATTCAAGGTGAACTACAAACCAAATCAAGGAAATAAGAGAGGACACAAACAGCTGGGAAAACATTCTATGCTCATGGTTAGGAAGAATCAATATTGTGAAAATGGCCATACTGCCCAAAGTAATGTATAGATTCAATGCTATCCCCATCAAGCTACCACTGATCTTCTTCACACAACTGGGAAAAACCACTTTAAACTTCATATGGAATCAAAAGAGAGCTTGCACAGCCAAGACAATCCCAAGCAAAAAGAACAAAGCTGAAGGCATCATGCTACCTGACTTCAAACCATACTGGCAAGGCTACAGTAATCAAACAGCATGGTACTGGTACCAAAACAGAGATTCAGACCAATAGAACAGAACAGAGGCCTTGGAAGCAACACCACACATCTACAATCATCTGATCTCTGATGAACCAGACAAAAACAAGCAATGGGGAAATGATTCCCTGTTTAATAAATGGTGTTGGGAAAACTGTTGGGAAATTCCATTCTATTACAAGCGAGCCATATGCAGGAAGCTGAAACCTTTCTTACACCTTATACAAAAATTAACCCCAGCTGGATTAAAGGTTTAAACATAAGAACTAACACCATAAAAACCCTAGAAGAAAACCTAGGCAACACCATTCAGGACATAGGCACAGCAAGGACTTCATGACTAAAACACCAAAAGCAATGGCAACAAAAGCCAAAATAGACACATGGGATCCAATTAAACTTAAGAGTTTCTGCACACGAAAAGAAACAATCATCACAGTAAAGCGGCAACCAACAGAATGGGAAAAATGTTTGCAATCTACCTGTCAGACAAAGGGCTAATATCCAGAATCTACAAAGAACTAAAGGAGATTTACAAGAAAAAACAAACAAACAAACAAACAAACCAACCCATTCAAAAGTGGGCAAAGGATATGAACAGATAGTTTTCAAAAGAAGGCAAATATGCGGCCCACAAACATATGAAAAAATGCTCATCATCACTGGTCATTAGAGAAATGCAAATCAAAACCACATTGAGATACCATCTTACACCAGTTAGAATGGCAATCATTTAAAAATCTGTGGACAACAGATGCCAGAGAGGAAGTGGAGAAAAAGGAACACTTTTGTACTGTCGGTGGGAGTGTAAATTAGTTCAAACATTATGGAAGACATTGTGGCGATTCCTCAAGGACCTAGAAATAGAAATTCCATTTTGACCCAGCAATGCCATTACTGGGTATATACCCAAAGGATTATAAATCATTCTATCATAAAGACACACCCACACGTATGTTCATTGTGGTGCTGTTTACAATAGCAAAGACCTGGAACCAACCCAAATGCCCATCCATGATAGACTGGACAAAAAAAAAAAAAAAAAGTAGCACATATACACCATCGAATACTATGCAGCCATAAAAAACGACGAGTTTGTGTCCTTTTTAAGAGACATGGATGAATCTAGAAACCGTAATTTTCAGCAAACTGACCCAAGAACAGAAAACCAAACACCGCATGTTTTCACTCACAGGTGGGTGATGAACAATGAGCACACTTGGGCACAGGGAAGGGAACAACACTCACAGGGCTAGGTGGGGGAGTGGAGGGGAGCAGCGGGACAGCGAAGGGGGAGGGGTGGATGGGGAAGGATAACACCGGGAGAAATGCTGATCTAGGTGACATGGGGGGCGGAGGGATGGAGACAGGAAACCATCATGGCATATATATACCTATGCAACTATCCTGCAGGATGCATGATGTGCACATGTACCCCAGAGCCCAAATGCAATTTAAAAAAAAGAAAGAAAAAGAAGAAGAAAAATGGTACAACCAGAATCAATCAGAATGCTTTCAGAATAAGCAGCTCTCATCAAACAGAAGTAGATAAAAATGTTATTACCTCTTTGAAGATGGATAAACTAATCTGTATCAACACTTGCTAGGAGAAATAATTCCTTTTCTTTGTCCTCATTCTAGGAGATTGATACAAATCTGATAATATTTGACAAGGACATCAGAAGAAAGAAAAAGTACAAGATCAAGCCAAAACTACAAGCTAAGATCACCCCTGAACCCAGACTCCCAAATTCTAAACTAAAGGTTAGCAAATAAAATACAATAGTGCTTAAAAAGAACTCCATCAGCCATGGTGGAGTATACTGTATAAAGACAAGAATGATTTAACATTTGAAAATCAATAAATGTAATGCACCACATTAAAAACAACAAAAATACAGGGAAACACCACATGATCATTATTATAGATGGGTCAATGTTTAAAATGTATTCATGATAAAAACTATCAGCCTCTTAGAAAAAAAAGGTAAGCATATTTTGGTAAGCATATGCATACACACAAAAAATAGTAAATGCCATACTTCATAGTGAAGTATCAGGATTTTCTTCCTGAGTTTGAAAACAAGACAAATGTGTCCACTATCCGTTAAACAATTTACTGGAGGTTCTAAAAAGTGCAGTAACATCAGGAAAATATGAATCGGTTTAAAATCTTAAAAGAAAGAAAACTGTCATTATTTAGAGATGACATTGTTCTGTACCTAGAAAATGTAAAAGTATAAAATCATTATGGTTAATAAGCAAATTTACTCAAGTCACTGGATATAATAAAAATCAATGATATTTCTTTATAATTAATAGCAACAAATAATTAGAATATAAAATTTCAAATGTCGTTAAAACAGTAAAAAATTGAATACTTAGAAATAAATCTAATCAGAATGTGCTAGAGCACTACACAAAAATTATAACACATCTCTGAGAGAAATTCAAGACTGCAGTATATGGACAAAAATATTCTTTCCATGGAATGAAAAGACAGTATTAAGAGGCATTATTGTTAACTCTTTCAGAATGACATAGCAATCATATTTAAAATTCTACCATATTTACAAAAAGTTTTTCTAAAAATTGACAAACAGATAATTGTCTGAAGCATATGCAAATTAAAGATTTGGGAAAGCTGGCCGGAGGCGGTGACTCACGCCTGTAATCTCAGCACTTTGCGGGGCTGAGGCGTAGAGATCTAGAGATCACAAGGTCCAGAAATCAAGACCATCCTGACCAACATGGTGATACCCCATCTCTACTAAAAATACCAAATTAGCTGGATGTGGTGGTGCGTGCCTGTAGTCCCAGCTACTCTGGAGGCTGAGACCTGAGAATCAATTGAACCAGGGAGGCGGAGGTCACAGTGAGCTGAGATTGTGCCACTGCACTCCAGCCTGGCAACAGAGTGAGACTCTGTCTCAAAATATATATATTTGGGAAAGCTAAGACAATATTTAAGAAAAAGAACTAAGTTTGTAGACATACACTACTAAACATGAGATTTACTATAAGGGTAGAGTAATGAAAACAGTATGGTATTGGAGCAATGACAGACAAATACACGAAAGGTAGAGGACATGGAGGCCAGAAAGAATCTGGAAATGGAAAACAGCTAGATTTACCACAGAAGAGCTCCTGTAAAACACTGGAAAGACTAGTGCTTTTAAAAAATGCACTTCAGATCTCGACTCAAGATGGCGCTGTGAGAACAACCCAGGATTGGAGCCCGCGTTGAATTCGCAAACGGTGAGTCAGTGCTGCATTTCCAGACTGATCTTTGTTGCCCACAGAACGGGGAAACTCCCAAGTATAAAGAGACACGGGACGCCAGGCACTAGGTCTGCCTGGCGAAGCCGGCAGCCGGGGCGGCGGCGGCCGGCCCTACCCAGCAATCCCCACAGGGCGCGCTTGTCCGGGTGCCTTGTTGAACCGGCAACCTGAGACTTGAGAGGGCTGGACTTGAGACTGAACGAGACTTGCACAGTAGCCCAGCCCAGGGGATTGCAGGGACAGATCGTTTGGGATACCCAGTGGGACGAACAAAACCACGATTTCAAACTATCCCGGGCAGACGGTCCGAGACGCTCTGTGGGGGAGGGGCGTCCACCACTAC